TCCTTGTACAAAATTGTTCAACAAATTAACCTTTGGATTTCCCTTTTTATCCGCCCAGCCTTTGCTTTTTCAAAAAGGTAAATTTTGCTCCATTTTCTCGCTCTGCAATTGGTACCAGAAGCAAAGTGATGGTGTGTTTATCCATTTGCGTGGGCGTCCTTGGGTGACAGTGACACTAAGATTTCTGGGGGAAACAACATTACCAATAAATGATCAGTTTTGCTCCAGTACTGTCATTTTCTGCAATTTGACTGTAAGGTGAGCTTTCCTCTGCTTCCTTTCAGAAGAGCTTACAATTTCAACAGAGGCGTTTGCTCTGTGCATTTTATTCGCCTGACAGTTGGTGCTCAAATAAGGAAAAAGAAGGGAGCATTCCCTCAATGATCTTTCTTACCCATACAGTCTCCAGGCATTTTGACAATGGGCTCCAAAGCCTTTCCATATATTACGATGCCTGTCGACAAACAGCACAGGAGGGTGAAGTAAAAGCAAACACAAAAATATGGCCAACATATACAACTGATTAGTCTGACTTTTTATGGCAAGCAAGAATCACCCAGGGGCCCTTCCCTTCCGCTACTACTATAAATCTGGGTTTTCAATGCGGCAAGTCAGACGTCCAAGTGTTTTTCCTCCAGTTGCAAACAGACAATAAATTATCTTGGCTACTACAGGAGCTCATGTCAACTATAAAATCCCAGCTCTGGCTCCGTCACTGAAGAAAAGCAGCCCTTCCTGTCTGTATGATGCAAAAGCTGGAAAGGTTTCAAATAGTGGCATCCTCTAGTTTATTTTGGGAACTTGGAGGGAGCAGATGTTAGCCAGCGTTGGTACCGCTGAGATGGATGGACTCATGGTCCAACTGTTTGCAACCACTTCCTATGTTTGTAATTAGGAACTACATGGATTGCATCCAACACTTGGCATGGTGCAATTTTTCATTTAACAGGGACTTATTCCCTACACACTAGTGTAAACCAAAATGGTTCAAAGAACAGGAAATGAAGGAAGGTCCCTCCGCCAATGAAACATTGACTGAGAACCAGAGAAAGGGATGAAAACTCCAAACCATCAAACAAGAGTTAATAAGACAATAATAATGTAAGCATAAGGGACACATGGGATCACCTATGATCTTTCAAGCACTGATTTTCATTGCTTCTTTTGTAAGGTGTATCCTTAAGAGCCTGGCATATTCTATCTGTGACCATTGGGACTATGATGGAAAAAACGTCATTCTCATCAAATCACTGAGGAAGACTCATTGAAATAACTCTACATTCCTGGGAGTAATAGTAGTAGTAGCAGTAATAACACTGTTTGACTCTTCCTTATCCAAAATGCTTGGGACCAGAGGTGTTTTGGATTTGGGAATATTTGCATATACTTGAGATATATTGGAGATGGGACCCAAGGCTAAACACAAAATTCATTTATGTTTCATACACATCTTATACGCATAGCTTGAAGGTAATTTTATACATATTTTTAATAATTTTGTGTGCGAAACGTGTGTGGACACTGAACACTCAAAAAGCAAAGGTGTCACTATCTCAGACACTCATGAAAAAGTTTTAGAGTATTTTAATTTCCAAATTCCAGATAAGGGATACTCAACGTGTAGTAATAATAATAAAGCTTAATTGCACCATTTATTGAAGAAATGCTGCTGCAACTTCCAGCCAGAAAGAAGACAAGAATGGAGGCTGGGCTATCATTTTTAAAAAAAACTTTGCAAAAGGAGCTCATGAGGTTTTATTAACTGAGGTATGCATGCAATTGTCATTTGCTTATATATGGCCTTGTGTGTTGTTATTCAGCTATATTGCAGTGCCAATAGAGTTCTGTCGTTCTCTGCCCTTTGTTTCTCAACAGTATTATTTGCTGTCTTATTACCACTTTTATTATCTGTTTGGAGTCCCTCTCCCCAAGGTTCTCAGTTGTTGCATAAACCAAAATAGCCCATCAAATCCAACATTTGGTTTCTCGCCGTTGGGTTTCTCAGAAAGTTCACCAGCAGGATATTCAAGTGATGAGCTACCCTTGTTCACCTCCCAAACTTGGCACTCCTATAAATTTTTGTTAAAATGTATTCAGAGATTTGCTGTTGCTCTTCTCTTCTCTTGAGACTTGCAAGGTCAACCACTGGGTTTTGAACCCAGGTTTCCCAGACTCCAAAACTTAAACCACGATGCTATAATGATTCCCAAAAAGTGTTTCTTAGCAAGATTTGTTGAAAGGTTTGCCATTGTCTTCTTTTTCTAAAGTTGAGAGAGTGTGGCTTTCTCAAGATCAGCCAGATACTTTCTAGCAAGAATACCCTAGGAAAGGATGGCCATTGGTTGAACCTGAAAGCAACTCCAGATGTTGTTGGACTGCAAAACCCATCAGCCATAGCCAATTGTGAGAAATGCTGGGAGTTATGGTGCAACAGCGTCTGAACACCACATAACCTCCCCTCCCCAGCCAAGACTGAAGTAGCCTAATTAAACCATATAAAATCCACAGTGCAACTTGGGATAAAGCAGCTCCTAGTAATTATCATACATTACTACAAAAATGTTGGGGTTGATCATGACAATAATTATGGTTATGAGTTGAATTATCTGAATGAAGCAAATATTTTGAGAAGCAGTACTTAACCAAACAAAAACTTCCTTCTCCACACCAAAAGGTAAAAATCAGATTATAAATGTGCATTCTAGAACAAAACATACAGAAACCCAAAGTCCTTGTTTGGTAGGTACCCAAAACAGTCAACAGACCAGGTCCAAAAATGTACCTCTTTTGTTTCTGTCTGTTTTGTTCTCATCAGAACAGGTCTAATGCTTACTAAGCATGTGGATTTATATAGCATAACAGGCAGACAAGCAATTCAAATCTTACTTTGTATCTTTTGGAACAGCAAACCAACTCAACAACTGATATAGCCACACACCAACCTGCTGGAATTGTACAGTTTTATTTAAAACGAAGAAGTTGATGGAGGTTTTTCTTCCCCAGAACTCTGCACTTTAACATTAAATGCTTGTACATTTGTATAAGATGACCAACTACCTGCAAAGGAGAGGCAGAATATTATGTACAATTGTACTTATTTTTAAAAGTTAAAAAAGGTCACTTTTCTTTTTTACACAAGATTTTACCAAACCTATCCCATGACAGAATAATCAAGTAATTCTTGGCAGGGGTTGGGGTGGAGTCAGAAGGAATTTCAGCAGTGGGGAAAGGGGAATATAATGCTCATGTTTGTGTTTCTGAACTAATTTTATTCTTTCAGCTTCAAATGATAAAGCAAAACAAAAATGAATGGTGGCATTTGTAGAAAGCAATTCAAGTCAAGTTTTTCAGAACTGTCCATATTCCATCGGTCCCATTCCAACTCTGTGTGGTCTCAACTCTTTTTCAAGATGTAACATTCATCCTTGGTATATGATTAAAAATATATATCTATATATATATATTTATATTCCACCAACCATAGGGATATGTTCAAGAGCAATGTGGAAAGTCTTCAGTCCACTTTCACGACGCTATATATCTTACTGACGAACCAGAAACAAGCAAAGAATCCAATTGTTCCTAAAGGCCAAGAAAAAAATGCAAAAGAAAATAGGTTAAAACGTTGACACCTTCCAACATGGTCTTAGAATGCAAATGGGATCTTTCTGAACAAGAATGGACTTTTGTCCACTTCTTGGTAGCCCACCTAGTACTGGCTGCACTACACGATAGTCTTATGGTGAGCCTAGAAACTCTGCTTTATGTTCTTAAGCAAGATTGCATGTGCAGAATGACTTAAACATCCATTATACTTAAAATTGTTAAAGACAGGTTTTGAAAATTTAACACATATTGGGGTAATTGCGACGATTTCACACACACAAAAAGTAGACCATGCAAGACTGAAATTGGCCCACTCATGTTCAGGCAGAAATGAATGCTTTGTTAATCTTGCAGCCATCTGCACAGATTCAAAGCGCCTCTTTTTTCTCTTGAACACTTAACCCTTACAGAATAGGTTGAACATCCCTTGTTAAGTAATAATAATCATCATAATAATATTTATTTCTTATACCCCGCCTTTCGCCTTGGCAATCAAGTACACCTAGGGTGAGGTCACTAAATGTTTCTCAGCAAAAGAAGACTCTATCTGTCCCTGAAGGTCACTACCCAGAGAGCCATTTTGGAAAAGCAAGGAAGTGAGTGTGATGCTCTGGAGATGCACAGATCAGGAGTCAAGTCAATGGTTGGGTGCCCTGAAATCCACATACATTTTCAATTCAAGAGTGTGTGTGTGTATGTTAGATCTGACACTATTGAGCATAAACCAAGTCTTCCTGCATACTCTCCATACATTCAGAGCATGTTTTGGGGTGCAGGAGGGGGAGAACTAAATTCCTGGTTCTCCACCATGAAGCATAGGCTTGACTAGTTTGTCCAGAAAACTCATTTTTCTCAAACTGCTCTTCGCAGAATCCCCCAGCCAAAACAGACAAAGCATTCAGGCTAGGTGCAATATGCTGCCATGAACGCTGCACCATCAGACCTGATTGTGTGAAGGGCGTACAACTATATGCATGAAGTGCCTCATTTCAGACACCATACTTAAAATCATACATATCAGGATGATGCCAGCAACATGTGTGTAGGTCCTACTTGTCGCAGAATTTGTATGGGGTCCTACTTGTCACAGAATTCCCTAGAAGCCACACAGACTCTAGCTCCCCGAAAACCAGAAGTGGCTGGAATTCTACTTCTGCTTTAATAAAACAATTATTCAAAATATCAAACAATGCAAGGGGAGCCTGAAACATATTTAGATAGTAAACTGCTGCTCCTGGAGACTCACCAGAGAGATAATTTGTTTTTGCTGTGTGCCTTCAGGTCATTTCGGATTTATGGCAAACCTATCAGGAGTTTTTTTTGGTAAGATTTGTTCAGAGGAGATTTGCCTTGCCTTCCTGTGAGGCTAAAAGAGTGTGACTTGCCCAAGGTCATAGCCAAGTAGGGATTTGAACCCTGGTCTACAGAGTCGAAGTCCAATGCTCAAACCACCACACCACACTGGCTAACGTACCCATTACTTTTGGCCAGAAAAGGTACAGTCCTACAATTCTGGAAGGGCTGGGGGCTCTAAAAACAGTCCTGAGAAACCACATGCTGCTCCAGGGTCAGATTTATCCCACTCTCAGTGTACACTTTCAGCAGACTGTGCATTCTTCCCACTGAAGACATATATACATACACACACTGGGTGTAGACCTTTGCACCATGCATGTGTATAGTTGAAATGCATGAAGAAGGAGCAGGCAACTACTATGAAGCCAATATAATGAATGAGCTTGATTATACTGTTGGAGAGAATGGAAAGCAAAGGATTTTTTTCTTTTTCTTCATATGCAAGCATTTAGCCCAGCAATTTTCAAACCCTATTCTGAGGGAAGCCTGAAATTCCTTAGAAGCTTATGAGGGATTCCTCAATGAGAAGATTAGCAACAGCAGACAAGTTCCCCCAACAGCTCACTATTAATCTCCTCCTGCAATGGAAGGCAAATTCTGCCAAGTGCTACTTCTGGAGAAGATCTCTGAGCACAGGTTTGCTCTGGTTCTTCATTTTCATTTCCCAAACCAGATGCCAACTGATCCTTTTCTCCACTCCAAAATACAGGTTAAATACCCCTTACCTGAAAATCCAAGACATTCAAAAATTGTCCACACGGGTAGCTGAGATAGTGACACCTTTGCTTTATGATGGTTCAGTGTTTGTTTCATGAACTAAATAATTAAAAATATCTTCAGGCTATGTTTATAAGTTGTATATGAAACATAAATGAAATTTGTGTTTAGGTCCCATCTCTAAGATACCTTATTATGAATATGCTAGGATTCCAATATTTGAAAAAATCCAAAACACTTCTGGTCCCAAGCATTTCAGATAAGGGATACTCAACCTATATTTATTCTAGCCAGTCAGCAATCTGTGCCGTCTGATGTTAAGTACACTGAAATCAGAGTAGTAGGATTGGGAAAATGTTTTATCATAAATTGAACACTTACACATTACTAAGGCCCATATCTTACAAAAACGCACCCAGGACCTCAATGAGAAACTATGCTGCTTGAGAATCCACAACATGATCTTCCCTTCTACACAAACAAAACACACCCAGCCATAGCAGCAGCAGCAACTGGGTTAGGTAGGAGTGATCACCAACAGCCCTGTCAGATCAAATAATCAGATGGCAAAATGGCAAAACAAATGATAAAAAATGTGACCGACAGCAATTGGGTTGCAAAGGTATAGCTTTTGCCTGTTAACAATATGTATTACACCCTGATGTCAAGATACCCACACTTCCACCAATTGTCCTGATCATCAATATATTGTCTCCAATACACTCCTTACTCCTTTGAAGAAAAACAATAGTTGCTTCCATATACATCCCTAAAGGTTAGGCCAGGTTTTAGATGCCACTATATGGTGTAGTGGTTACCTCAGGGTTCA